TGCTCCGCCTACGACTAGCGAAGGAAGTTCCCTTTCATTGATCCCACAATACAATCCGCAGAAACAACGCCTGACAGGCAATTCGCCACCTTATCGCACACTCTCACATTTTGGGTTTAACTCGCCTCAGCAACTGCCTCGAGCCGAACATAAGCACCTTCCTTTGTTGACAATCGCTCCTGGTAAATTCGTCAACTATAAGCCTATGCCACGTTTCCTCTCTTATGAAGATATTTTTGCTACACCTCGCTATGAACAACTTTGTTGTTTCTGTTTCGAACATCTATTACGAGTCAAACCAGAGCAATCTCGAGATAAAATTCGCTGGGTCACATATTCAGATCATAATTATTATGATGAAAAGCATATCGAAAAATTCGATGTTAATATGATGCAGCCAACGCCTATAATAAAAATACCTCCTGAGCTGATCACAGAATCTGATGAACAAGTGAAAACGCAAACTGGCTCAGGCCTATTAAACTATGTAAATACCTTTTTAACCAAACTCGATGGTCTAAATTTCTCAGAAGATTCGGAAAATACAAAATATTTACCCAGTATACAAGCCTGTTCTAGCGATGGATCTAGCCTTATTGATTTAGCAAGTGCGACTGGTAGCTGGATCAGTGTACATCAGCTTAGTAGTGTATCAACCGATGCTGCCATTGCAACAGAAATTACAGAAGTATTGCACTTCGACAACTGGCTGGAGAAAAATGACGGTCAGTACAAAAAAAAGTATGACGACGCTACGTTAAGGTCGCAGGAACCCGTGAACCCTAAGAATTTTGTTACATTTGAAAAAGTTACAGCCGAGGAACAGAAACAGCCACGCCAACTTATGTCTCGTAACGAGCGCCATCGTCGTAAATCAGAATTTCATGAGCTATGGCAAGAGCATGTGCAGTACTTTAGCACCGCGATGCAAGACGAGTTTGGAGAACAGGCTGTCGACGATTTACAATCAACGTATCCTTCTGTGAAAATATCTATTGAAGAAATGGAGCATACATATAAACACGACGCAATGGACATTAACCCACTTCATAAACCTGAAAATCCTGTTTCTTTTAATATAGACTTTCAGAACATTACAACCGAAGAACTGCCCCATATTTTACAACAATTCGAATTTAGTTTAAATACTGCTGGGAAAAATCTTGAGAAGCTGGTTAAAACTACCAAAAGACTTCAAAATATTAACTTTAAAAGGATTCCTCATTTATCTGTTTATAATAAAACTCAACGTGACGACTTAGAAAATCACGACTTGGTTATATATGCTAACTCTAAAAATAAAAATAAATCTGCTTCTTGTTTGGCACGGGCTATTGGCTTGAATGAAATGGACAAAGCAATATTCTCCAGTAGGGTGATTGAACCTGCACAGAATCTTAGTCATAAAAGCTATTTAAAACAAATGGAAATATTTGAGATAAAAACGTTTGGAGCGCCTAAAAATTACAAAAGTGTATCTATGGTGCAGGGATATTCATTTGCTAACAAGTTAATCCCAGTCATGGGGGAAGAAAAAGAAGAGAATGTAAGATTTTTCACTCCACTGGAGAACGAAATACTTAAACGCATCGAGATCAATAAATTCTTGGAGAGGGAAGAAATTTTTAGCAAAATTTATCGTAGCATACGAAACAAGCTAGCTCCATCTCAATTACATTCGCTGGTTAAAGAAAAAACTTTTAAAACATGCAATTACATATGTAACGCGCCTTCTGAATTATCAGTGCCCCATATTGGATATTGGATAAGTCAAGAGAACAATGCAACATCCGCCATGCTTGAACGTACTATCTCTTCTACAAACTTACAATCACAAAGGAACTCTAAGCAGTTAGCAAAATTGATACCCAAACGGCGAAATTTTATACTAGAAAACATACGCAATGCAAGCAAACCTCGATTCCCAAAATACACGAGTAAGGATGCGTCTTTAAAAATGTCGGTCACTAGTCGATTCTACGAATATAGTGAATCCAATATTTGTACCTTTCAAACAAAGAAACTAGGCAGCAGTGCACGACTATGGATATCACTACCAACTTCCACAAGCGATGCTGACAATCGTTTCACTCTTAAACGAAAGCTACTTTCTTGTTCTTCCTCTGTTAAATCGCCTAGCTCTTCTACAATAAAAGGGCATTATATACAATCAACAACGGCAAAGCCCCCTATAATTACAGTACAAAACTCTTTATCTACAATTGAATTGGATCCAGAAGAAAAGAAAGAGCATACTATTTCAGGTGAGGCGACTGCGCCCAAAGATCAAACTAGTGTATCAAACAATTTTTCATGCCATGAAAAGTGGGGTCCTAAATTTAGTTGTACACATTTAAAAAAAACACGGTGGCCGGAAAGTAATAGAAACTATAGTGGCAGCTTAAGCAAATGCACATGTTGGAGAACCGAGGCTGATCCAAGTGATTCATCTAATAAGAAACAAAAAAAGAATTTTCTAGGATTAGCCGAACTCAATTATACTAGCTATTATCAACAGGAATTACTTATTCAAGAATCCAAATTAAATCCACTAAAGTTTTATGATGAAGCAAATGTCAAGATTTGTGAAATATGCTATGGAGATGTCCAGTTTATGTCCGTAAAACCAATCAATACGAGCGAGAGCATCAATATAACTAATAAATTGGCTTCAGGTACAAGGAATAAATCATTTTTAAATGCTGAACATAAAATAGATAGCATTACATTACAATCGGAAAGCAAATTGCACGATAAAACTTTATTTGTCAGCGATAGAACACAATGTCTAAACGAACATGTGGAGTAGGTAGCGACAAGCTGTGCAATAAATTATTATTCAGATGATACATATAATAAAAAAAAGTTGAATTGTATAAAATATTCTGTTGAGAATATGTTTGATAATTGTTTGGTAAATATTTTCGGGGTATGAAATAAATTTGTTGTTTATTACACATACAAAACCAAAACAGTATGGACTTTAATATATTGTCTAAATTTTTGAGTGTTTTATGTATGTACACAATCCAGCCTATTTATAGGTATTGTTAAATTTAATCCAATACGACCATTTAAAAATTTCGGTATTGTGTGGACCTGTACCGTATAATCTCCTATAATAAAAAATCAAGTACCTTTGCAATATTCAGCAAGTAGTTTAATACGTTGTAATATTCCTGTCTTGCATGTGTAGTTTTATGTTGTTGGGAAATATCGTTGATGGTTGCAATCTTCATTACAACAATAATTTTTGTGCTGCAGCGACAATCTTACGCACATATTTGAATCGCACTTATTCTTAATTCCAGCTAAAAATACTTTGAAGATTTTGCAATTATCTCAAAAATATGCATTTCTATTCGAGCCATCATGTTATTTCAAGGATTGTCGTCGGTATATTATAAATTTACAAGTTAACGTTATTCATAAAGTCGAAATTACACAAAAGCACACTTATCCCATGCTAAACACCCCTCCTAAAACATTTAAAGTGAATAACAAGATAGATCATACTACAACGATTGAAATAGCCGGCACCAACCATTTCGCACCATTTCGCACTCACTCACATTACGGCTTCAACTGCCCACTTAAATACTCTCCGTCAATCCCTCTTTATCCAATGACTCATGATATTGGGAAAAACGTAAAGAAACTAGTCAAAAGCGATGTTGCTTTTAACGACTCATTGGCTTTCGGTCATTCAAAACGCAACATATTTCGCAATTCGACGTATCTTAAGCCGAGGAAAAGTAAACTTCCATGTTCGTGTATATCTGAAATACATGTCAACATCGACCCATTCCGACATCAGAAGCAATGTAACAATAGTGCAGAAAGCCGTAAATTTTCCACAAACAACTACAACGCTGTGCCATTTACAAAAGTGTCATCTATATCACAGTGCCAATGTTCCTTTTTATTTGAGCTACAATATTTTTTGCCCGAAATGTATACAGTATCATTAGAAGCCACAACAAATAAGGCCTTAATACATCCGGTAGTATCAAATAATCAGATACCCGGCATCGACACTCGAAAGATGAAGGGTCATTGCGAAAGTACTACCACAGCTATGAACTCAACATCATTTGGGATAGTTTTACCAAGGAAAACGCAAACCTATAGAAGACTCAATAGTATAGAATGTACATCGGATACTTCATCGAAGAAACGGACTAAATCCAACCCTAAAGATATAACCATAAATATGTTTATAAAAGACTCAGAAAATAACGTAGAGCACCTTCTCTTAAAATATCGCAACAACCAGCTACCGAAACTAGTAAAGGCAACGCCCAAATTGTTTCTTGTATCGCAGCAACTCTGCCCCAGTCCACGCTTTAACTGAAATGGCCGAAGCCCTACCCGTCAAATCAAATTTTCATACAGAGGCAACTAAGATCGCCAATGCTTCAGTTGCCGCACTTGTTCAAGAGCATAATAACACGAGAGCCGAACAATCGTTCCAAGATCCTACAAATGACGTTTGATAAGCAAACAATTACAAAATTAACTTATTAATGTAGACAATTATTAAAATAAAATGCGTCATATTATATTTGTAGTCCTCGAGACCGTATCGTTTAGTTATCATCTAACAATTTAGAGACTATTGTGAAAAAAAAAACAAATTCATAAGTGCTCTGCTCCAATTCATTTAAAAAAAGTTTGATAATTAATTGTTCCTTCATAAATGTTTTTCAATCCAATACAAATGGATAACTTAATTTATTTTTATTAAATATTTTATATGCATGTTGGACGTCAAATTTAATATCCTAAGGTGCGTACACTATTATTGAATACGTATTGTTTGTAACTATTAACTTACTATACATAGTTCGATCTTGTTGTTTTTTGTATATTTACTCGTATATACCTATAAAATATATAAACATTTGTGTGCTTCCGTTGTATTAAATGTAATTGAATTTTTTATAAAAGAAATCGATTTTAATTAAATAATTTTTTTCCAATTCCTATCCCCTATTTAGGTGAGAATTTCCATAATGGTGATCATTCAGAGGCGCATTTGAGTACTTTTTCTCAGAGCAGTAAAGAGGTGAGCACTTGAACGACTTACCAAAGCAAATGTGCATATATTATATATCTATATATAATTATATATCTATTTTTTTTCTTTTACTTTTGGTAAAGTTGCAAGATATATCTACAGACGGATCCCCTAAAAAAGACAAGAAGAAGAAAAAAGGTTTGCGAACACCATCGTTTTTGAAAAAGAAAAAAGAGAAGAAAAAGACGGATGTCTAAAATACATAGCTCAACAGAGGAAAACACAGATCTGAGCTTATATTAATCGATAATTGAAAAATTAATCTAATCGACAGAAGGAAACATGCAAGAAAATAATGCACGAAATAAATATTGGGTGGCTTGCCTAAAGATAAGTTAAAACTTTTCGGCTACTTTTTGCAACTCATTTATTGAACAATATATTTATTTACATAATACACAACGCCGCAGTTAAATTAAAAAATGGGCTAATTTACATTTGTTTGAATAAATACTACGTAAAAGCATTACAACTAGAAAACGGATAAAGTAAAATATATTTTACTCGTAAAACACGGTCCTTCTTTGTTTAAGCATTTATGAAAATTTTAAAATTTAATATTATTGAAAACTACGTATGTGCTTATTTACTTTGAATATAGTACGGCATATAACGTGCAAATATGTTTAGAATTTATTCATGGCATTGTATTAGTTCTTTATACAATAATCAAACATTTTATATTTTTGTGTACGTACTCAGATGATATATGTGTAAAGTAATAAGTTAATAAATAAAACACTCAGTAAAACAGAATCGTCATAAAACATTTAAAAACAAAATTACAAATAAAACAAGTCTAAAAGTTATGTATGTATTCAAAATAATGTTCAAACATTCTTTTCCAAATATTTATATTTAAAGAAAAATGGGTTTGAATGATTTTGTTTGGTATTTATGTATTTTAAGAATTCCCCACCAATATTACCCTTCATATAGGTAAAATTAAATATTAAAAATCAATACAAGGAGTTATCTAAAAGAAAAACTGCCATAGTGTGTACAACTTGAATCACAATTGCCATTTTATAATTGAATGCAATTAAAACCCTACTTATACGGTCTCAGATAGAAAGAGCGCGAACTCAATTGTTTTGACTAAAATTGATACGTGCCCATAAATACCATCAGCCCTACAGATACAACATACAATATTGTTAAAGTCTTTAAAAAATATATAGTTAAAGAACGACTATTGCCTTTTTGAACCTTGGTTTTTAATTATTTCGATAAAAAAAAACAACCGATGTTGTGCCTTTTCTATCCGAGAACGATAATAGTATTTATATATACCCTATCCAGGCATCTCTTTTTATAATTATTGCCAGCCTTTTTGAGCCTTAAAAATAAAGTAATCTAAATGACGCGTTGCAAAACAAAAGCTCTGCCTTTTTTATTAATTAAAAATAATGTCAATTCTATGTTAAATGAAGAGAAAACCGGCCCATAAAACAAAAATACCCTGCCAATGCCGTGACCAAATAGAACGAAATGCTTTATGAGTTGCTGCCCCCACTCACGTACATGTCGGACTTTGCTCCCAGCGACAATTGCTTACTTCTACAAAGATTACAAAGGAATACAAAGGAAAGGAAACGTATGGTAGAGCGGTTTCAACTCTTATCTCTTACTCTGTACCCACTTCCCCAAAAAAGAAAAAAACTGAAAGACTATACATATAAACTATACAATCAATGCTTCCGTGAAGGAGCATTCCCGGACAAATGGAAGATGACCTGATATATATATATATATATATATATATATATATATATATATATATATATATATATATATATATATATATATATATATATATATATATATATATATATCTTTAGCGATAAGATACACAAAAGATATATATATACATATATATATATATATATATATATATATATATATATATATATATATATATATATATATATATATATATATATATATATATATATATATATCTTTTGTGTATCTTATCGCTAAAGAGATCGACGCAGCTGGTGCCATCGATTGTTTGGAAATGTGCTCACGAGCCGATGAGGTCGCTACATCGACTCCCTTACGATGACACAGCTAGGTGAATTGGACACATTTTCCAGGTAAACGAATCTTTCGTCCACTTCGAGTTTTAGTTAGCGGGGTTTGTTGGTTTTTGGTTTTCGGTGCGGCTTATAATAGGGTAGGGGCCATCATATGGAGCCTTCAGTGGTGCTTTCACCGTATCATCACGCAGGAATATATGTGTGCATGTGTTGAGATCCTTTTGTAGAAATACTTTGGCTTTGCCATGGTATGAAGTATTCACTGGCTTAAGTTCGGCCATAGTGGTGCGTAGCCGTTTAATAAAGAATTCTGGTAGTTTTAGCGTAGTGCCATAAACCATTTCAGCCGGCGATGCGTTTAGGTCTTCCTTGACCGTAGCCCAGAGCCAAGTAGTACAATGGGAAGACTTTCAATCCAGTTGGAGTCAGTGTGACATTTTATTGCCCTTTTTAATGTCCTGTGCATTCTCTCTATCAAACCATTCGCCTGTGGGTGATATACGGTAGGGCGCAGATGTTTAGAACCCGTTAGCTGTCTCAGCTCCTTAACCAATTTGGACTCGAATTGCCTGCCTTGGTCTGTGGTGATGTAGTATGTCATTCTAAAGTGCGCAATCCACCCGTGCAACAGCGCCCTAGCTACTGTTTCCACGCTGATATCCGATATAGGAATTCCGACTGGCCAACGAGAAAACCGATCGATGCACGTTAGACAGTACCTGAAGTTTTGGGACAACGGCAATGGGCCAATAAGGTCGATATTGATGTGTTCAAAGCGCCGGTCTGGTACGTTGAATTTGTGAAGCGTAGCTTTATTGTGCCTGCTGATTTTTGACTGTTGGCAGCTGATGCAATTGTTGACCATTCTAGCAATGTCTCTCTTCATATCCTTCCACACGAATCTATCGGTTATTAGTTTTACGGAAGCACATTTTCCGGGATGCGATAAGTTGTGAATGGAGTTGAATAGATGCTTGCGCAATTCACTCGTGACATAGGGCCAGATTCGTGTTGACGAAGTGTCGCAATATAGAGACGTCTTCGTGCCATTGAGCTGAATCTGTCTGAGCTGCAAAGAGGAATTTTGCATTAGTTCTTTGATTTCGGAGTCTGTTGACTGTGGGCAAGTTTTTCGAAATCGATTTGATCGTCGTAGTAAACGGCTTCCACCCTAGAGAGCGTGTCGGCAACAATGTTGCAGGTACCCTTGATGTGCTGGATGTCTGTTGTCTACTCGCTGATGAAGCCGAGCTGCCGAGTTTGCTTAGGGGTTGCCTTCTCAGAGTTTTGCTGGAAAGCAAAGGTGAGCGGCTTGTGATCGGTTAGAACTGTACAGATTCGTCCCTCCATCCTGTAGGAAAAACGCTTGACTGCCAAAAAAATTGCGAGTAATTCCCGATCGTACATACTTTGTTTTTTTTGAGACTCTGACAACCGTTTGGAGAAGAATCCAAGAGGCCTGAGCGTTCCATTGCATAACTGATTAAAGGCGGTGCCCACGCAAAAATAGCTGACATCGACATGCAGAATGAGCTTAGCGTTTGCGGAAGGGTGTGCCAGTGATGTTACTTGTACTAATTCTGTCTTGCACTGTTCGATAATTCGCTCAGCTTCAGCATTCCACACTATTGGAGTTTTGTCTTTCTTTTTATTGCCTTTAATTAATTTTTGTAGTTGGCCTTGTTTAAAGGCTGCGTTTGGTAGGCACCTCCTGTACACGTTTAACATCGCCAAAAAACTTTTGAGCTCGTGTGTCACAGTGGGTTTTTTGAATTCCTCGATCGTCCTAATCCGATCTCTTGTTGGTGCGATGCCTTCCTTTGAGACAAAGTAGTCTAAAAACTCTACCTGTGGTTTTCCGAAAGTGCACTTGGAGGCATTTATGCGCAGGACGTACTGCCGCAATCTTTCGAAGACGTTTTTCACGTATAGAAAATGAATATTACGTGATCCATGTCGCGAAATATTTGATCCATGAACCTCTGGAAAGTTTGACTTGCGTTGCATAAGCCAAATGTCATCACGTTGAATTCGTACAGGCCAAATGGTGTGATGATTGCGGTTTTGCAGCGATGCTCCGGTGCGATTCGTATTTGGTGATAGGCTCGTTCTAGATCGATAGTAGTGAAGACTGACTTGCCGCTGAGCTTGTTCGAAAAATCGTGGATATGCGGCAGAGGGTATCTGTCTGGTTTTGTTATGTGGTTGAGCAGCCTGTAATCTCCACACGGACGCCATTAATTTTTGTTTTTTTTAGAGCCATATGCAGAGGACTTGCCCATTGACTGCTGCTTGGGCTGCATATGCCTTGTTTGAGCATGTAGTCAAATTCCCGTTTAGCCATGGCTAATTTTTCTGGGTTGAGGCGACGTGTGTTTGAAACTCTTGGTTGGTTTTTTGTAAAAATGTGAGGCTGCACCTGAGTTTTTACATCTGAGCTTGTGTACCTATATGGTTTAGTAAGCTCGCTATACTCCCGTAGATCTATTTCAAAACGGTCGCTGCTTATTGGGCTCACTGTGTGTTGTTTTTCCCATTGGATGCAGCACACTGTGCCTTTTGCCGATAGCTTTGTAGAGCTATCAAGAAGACAGCATTTGCGAAGATCGACAACAAGACCATATTCGTGTAGGAAGTCTGCCCCTATAATTGGTTTTGTGACATCCGCCACGATAAATTGGCAGTCCATTTTTCTGCGTAAGCCGAGGCTGACTGTAACAATTTTAGTGTCGTATGTTTAGTGGTGGGAGAATTAGGTATCTGACCTTGGAAAACTGGTCAGTTATGATTAGTCAACGACTCTTAGCAGCGCCCATTGTGCCTGTCGTCTCGGACAGTGGCTTTTTTTTCGGCTTACGTTTGTTGAAGTCACACGGCTCTATGCATTTTTTGGCTTTGGCGCCAAATCTGCTGTGGTGATAGCAGAATGGAGATCGTGCTGGGGACGTGTTAATACGGGAGTTGTTTTTGATTTAAGATGTTGCAATTCCTTGCGGAGCTCGTCAATTTCAGCTTGCAGACTGCACGGCAGATACTGCTGACCGGCGCTGCGTTTCCATTATCTTATCAGCTTGCAGCGAAATTTTTGTATGAAGAAAAGGTCGGGTTGTTCATTGTAGAACGGCGGTGGCTTGATTCCTACCCGGCATATTTCAGGATTGGGCACAACTTGAAGTTCACGGTTGTTGTCCAAGGCTTGCTGGTTAGCATTTTGGTTTTTCTCAGCAGGATTCATGTTTTCAAGTTGGATTACCGAATTTATAATTGTTGGCAAAATGTGCAGGTGTGTATGTATACTAATGCCACCATGTGCGTGTGCCAAATTAGCAATTCACAAATTTCGGTTAATTTATCTCCAACGGTGCGTTTTTCTAACAGAGGGTTAGGTACAGATAAGTTAGCTTAAGTTAAGTTAGCTACAGATAAAACACTCCAAGTGTATTAACACAACTAAATTACTATTTATTAATACGAATTGATACAATTAACCTTTTTAGGTACGCGCGCTGGTGACGCTAGAGATGATAGTAACTATCATATAGCTAAAGAGATCGACGCAGCTGGTGTCATTGATTGTTTGGAGATGTGCTCACGAGCCGATGAGGTCGCTACATATATATTATTATAAAGCTGGTATGGCTCGCAACAACTGGGGTACTGAATGCATTAGCGATATACTTCCGACGAGATATCTTCCCCTAGTACATTTTTCTGGCGGAGGTATGTCTCTTTTTTGGCGGGGCTATGTCGACTTAAAATAACATATATTCGCGCGGATGTTTGGCGCTTTTGTCGCTCCGCCGAACTAAAACGACATACACCTCATGAAAAGAATTATATGTATGTGCATAGGTGTTTTTTTTTTAATAAATTGGTTTTAGTTGGATTAAATCTAAGTCTAAGTTTTATTTATTTATGACGAAAGGCATGTCCTTTTGAACAGCAAGACGCCTAATTTCCCGTTTACACCGTTCGTCAATGTTGGTTTGTCTTTCGCAGCGTTTGATCTCACCATAAGAATCAGGGTTATTAAGAAAATTTCTTATTGTGTTTCGGTGTCGATTGAATTTGATTTATTAAGCCTCGACCTTCCCCTGTTACATGCATTCCACGTGGCATTTTAGATAAAATACACATTTCGTATGAGCATTCATTATTAAAAACAAGTAAAAAAGCTAAAGTCGGGTGTCCCGACTTTGAAATGCTCTGTACATATGCTTAGAATAATTATAGAAATTAAAAAAATTAAGAAAATTAAGGAAAAAATGTTGATCGATTTTACTTAAACTTAGCATACGGATACATAATCACTAACAGGGGGTATTCGCAAAATTTGAAC